ATGTCAAGTGAGGGTACCCTGTAGAGGGCCCCAGTAAAAAAGCGACAACGTGATGGCTTCCTGCCGAACGCGCCCAGTCGAGTGACCCAACGTCCAACATCAAAGCCTTCCAAAGAGTCCTTCACTTTTCCATTGGATGGCCGCTGCGCCAATGCGCCGACAGCTCAGTTCGAGCAACCTCGACGACATGTACATCGTGCGCGGCCTCGAGGTCGCCAACTGCCGCATCACGGGCACGAGTATGGTCAAGCGCAAGGGCTTCCTCGCCAAGCATTCGATCGTCTACCACGTCAAGGTCATCAACGGAAGCCACGTCTACGTCGTCGACTGCGTCTACGAGGACTTTGCGCGCTTCTACAAGGAGCTGCGGACAGCGCCCAAGGCAGCGGTAGCGTTTCTGCAGGCGATTGCGGGGTTTCCGTGTCCCAAGAAATCGCTCTTTGGCCACCGCGACGCGCTCGTCATCAAGGGCATGTGCGGGCAGTTGGAAAACCACTTGACCAACGTGCTTCGACTCTGCCGTATCCACGGCGCCGCGCTGCCCGAGCTCAAGGAGCACATCAACGCGTGCATCCTCGAGTTTGTGACGCACCGCGACCCGATCCACGCGCCTTTGGGCCGCTGCCACCCGGTGTTGAGCCCGCACACGGAGGCAGACTCGGTGCGCCGGTGCCTCTCGTCCACCGTGATGTAGACCGTGGCCCATTATTTATTAACAATTCAACATGAATCGGCAACCATCCATCGACGTGCCTACTAGATTCGTAGTAAAGTTTGGGGAGAAATTCAGTCGATGCAGCAAGATACTACTGCGCTGCTGCTCGTCGGCGATGTATCCATCGGGTGGCTACTTTCAGCGACATGCTGCTCGCGTGTGCGGTACTCCTTGCCAGTCGCCCAGATTGACTAAGATCGACTAAGATCCAAGTTGAAAAAACTCAGATCTACGCCGTATCGGTGCACCACTACAGCACATTTCGGACAATTGTTCGCCAATGTCCAACAAGAACCACGACTTGTACACATAGTATCATTATTTACCTTTTGGTCTACACCCGGGCTGCTAATTGTATATACATAGAAACCGTCGACGGCGGTTACATCTCGGTCTTACGCGTGCTGAAACTGCCAGCCTTTTGGCTTGAAGCTGCACAAGATCGAGCGGCCGACGCTGTATTGGTACCCGGGCGCGAACCGGTCGACGGGGTTCGTGCGCACGAGAAGCAGCGCGAGAAGGCCACTGCCGGCGCCAATCGCAAACAGTGGCAGCGCAGTCTCGTAGGCACTGAGGATCGAGTGGTTGGACTCGGCCGCGTCAAAGAGGCTCGTGAA